CTTATTAGACGGAGGTCCCTTTGGCTTCTGAATCCGCTCTTCTTGTTTTCCCTTAACTTCCTCTCCACTTCTCGCCCTCGGTTTGAAAAGTTAGGAGCCGGCGCCTCTTTCTTCCAGGGCGGTTCCACTTTAGGGAGGCCTACTCAGAAGTAAAGAACAACTTCTCTCAGGTCCTCGGAGCTAGGAAATTTCAGACACTGGACTTACTAGTTGTTTTTATGATGATGATGGTGGTGGTGGTGTTGAGATGAAGAGGGCGAGGAAGGAGAGACATGGGTAGGTTTTATGATGATGATGGTGGTGGTGGTGGTGTTGAGATCAAGAGGGCGAGGAAGGAGAGACATGGGTGGGTTGTGTTCCCTTGACTTCTAAATTGTGGGTCTACTGAGGAGTTTGGGGAGGGGTCCTGCTCATTCTGGGATTTACACACACACACACACACACACACACAGAGAGACACACCAAAAAACATATAGGTCCCGAAGTTCTGCCCTCAAGGTGCTCGGATCCCCAAGGGACTGGTGTGGACAGAAGCCTAGGACTGCCGCCAGTCTGAATTAATGGATTAATGTTAATAACATAATTGCCACTGTCACTTGCTTTTCAACATTCAATTTAAGTCTGGCCTCCTGGCGGGTCAGCTTTCAGTCATGTACACTGAAGGGGTGCGCGCGCGTGCTTATAAATGCCTGAACCCTCCAGGATGATGGATTCCGCGCATCCAAGAAAGTGGGTTTTAAGCCCCCAAAAAAGTTTTTATTTAAAATCAACTTTAAAATAAACCGGATTGTTTTTTAGAGGCTTTCCCCCCCCACAACCAGGTTATTCTAGAAAGGAAGCCAAGCGCTAGCCTTCAGTTGCCAAGATCTGCGCTGGGTTGTTCATAGTTAGGTATTTTGTAGCTCATTAATTCACAGGGTCTCCCGAAGTCGGAAGTGACTGGAGGGCGAACACCCGTCCCTTGAATGCTGGGCCATCCAGAAAAGTGTGTTCTTGTTTTGTTTTTTTCACTAAGGGTATACAGAGTTCTCTCTTTCTCTCCCTGAGCTTCTTGATCGGGGAGGGTCTAATCTAAAAGACCCGCTGCCCGGAGAAATTAAATGTAATCCCCATTAAAGAACACGGAGGGAAGGAAGCCACTTTAAAAAAAAATCCACATCCACCCCATACATCACTAGGGAGTCCCGCGGGGGGGGGGCGCTTTCCGGATGGTTAAAAATGGTGCCCAGAGAATTAAAAATTCTACCCCACGTGCGTGTTGAAATGCGCCCAGAAATGCGCCCAGGGTCAGACCTTTTAAGACGCCGGCTAAGACCGGCCTTACCTCCTCAGAAACAAACCAGGAAGTGGGAGCTGGATTATTTTCCTTAATAAGCACCCGGAGCAAAGCGAATGAGGAAATAAACCGTCAAGCATTGGAGGGCAATGAGGCTCAAGGCGATCTGGGCCTTTACTCCGTAAAGGAGCGATGATCCGAAAATGAATGCTCCTGGATGGGGCTTGTAAACGGAGCGACCCCCTTTTTTTCCCCCTCCCCCTGGGATCCAGCAACCTGGACTACTGTATTTTATTTTATTTTTCAGTGGAGCCTGAGCTTCAAAGGGCTCGTTCCCGCCTCCCTCGCCGGGCCCCCCCTCCCCTCTTTCCACCCCACTATAAACTGTTGAGTCTGGGGTCGGTATCAAAACAGCTGAATTTAATCAGGATTTCCCAAACAGACATTTCCAGGTTGGATCAAGTGGTAAAGGGTGAGGGCAGAAAGAAAGAAAGCTTTCTTGCTTGGTTGGGGGTTGGAATATACCTTGGGAAAGAAAGAAAAAAAATCCTTACTTTTGCCCCTCTCTCCAAAATGCAAAATATAAAAAGGTACACCTTACACTCAAAACAGACACACCGCGGGAAGGGGTGTTGTTGGAAGGAACCGTTTTAAAGCGTTCTTAAACTGCGGGAAAAACTCCAGCGTTCAGACATTTCCCAGCCTTTCTGTGGTCTTGTCAATTTCACCTTAAAATAAAAAAACGGGGAACGGATGCGAGGGCCCCATCCTAACCAAATGAAATCGACAATCATATCCGCTGCCCCTTCTGTTTACCAGCCCTGATTTCCGAGGAGAATCCTTCTCTTCCCTCCCCCACCCCGTGCGCAGCGGTACTTACTCCTAAGTAAACCCGCAGAGGGTGTGGAGGGTGCCCCCCTCCAAGCCAACCGGTGGTGGGGGGGGGTTGAATAAAAATAAAAGGGCCATGCATTTCCATATTGAAATAGTCACACGTGCGCAGTAAATATAATTCGGGAGATGTTAGAAAGGCGATTTCCCCGAGAAACGAACCGGCAGCGGAGAGAAAGAAACAAGTTTTTAATTGGGGTATGTGTGTGTGAGGGAATAAATAAGAATCTCAACTGCAAACGAAGGGCGTCTGTCCCCGTTTACAGGTGTAATATTCCGGTAAAGGTGGAAGCCCTGGTCGGTGTGGCAATTCGCATCGAACCGGATTCTCGAACCGGAGAAAGCAAGAGAGACGGAAAAAAAAACCCAAGATATTTTTTGCTGAACTTAAATTCCGAGGGGGGGGGCTGTCGGTAAAGAGAGCAAGGGGTTGAGAACAATGCAGAATTATTCCTAATTTTTAAAATAATAATAATAATACTTGAGAAACCTTTCCATGATTGATTAGCGCTGCCTGCCGGTCCAGGCGCGCTTTTGGAAGAAAGTCAAATAAAAACAATTCGTTTGGATTTTAAAGTAGCGGGGGAAGAGCACGGACTAACTCAGAAGGAGGAGGGACCCTTAAATTAGTGTCGTTTAATTATATTCGTGGTTTTGTTTTTTGTTTTTTTTGCCTAGACAGCTTGAACGTGACAAGAAGGCCTGTATCACTATTGCGCCAATATACACATATAAATAAATATATATATATATACATTAGGTATGCCCGCAACGTTATTGTCAAATCTATGGTTAAGGGTCTCAACCCGTTATTTAGGGGGCTAGTCTTGGGTCAGCTCTTCCTCCTGGGGAAGCCTAAAGGGGGTATCCCCACCTCTCTACCCTGGGGGGGAGCCGAATTCTCTTGACCTTGACCGAGCACCCGAGAGATCCGGAGTAAAGAACTCGAATCGGTTTAAAAAAGAAAAGAAAGAAAATTAGCCTCGTGTAAACAGCCAGAAAAAGTTGCACTTCTGACTCCTCCGGTTTGAACCCGCTTGTCAACCTGGAGGCTTCAGAGTTTTCCAAAGTGGATGCGGCTCTCTCGGGCCAGCCACACCTGAGGTCCACGGTTCGAGGCGCTTCTTACGCGGAAGTAAACCCCGCCGAGAGCTTCCTTCCAGATGAATCGTAAATCCTGCAGCCTAAAGGGAATTTCCTTGCTCTCCTGTCGCAAACCATAAACCTGGGGGAAAGAAACTTCTTTGAAAGGAACAGGGTTTTCCGTGTTTTGGATACATATATAGATATAGATATCTGTATTTATCATAATAATAATTACGAATTTAGGATTAAACCATCCGGATCTACACCCTAACCCGGGCTCCGGATCACTTCTTTGAACTTCTGTTTGTTTTTTTCAAAGGGCACCCTATCTCCCTCCGCTTGCCCAAACGCCTCGCGTCCTGGTTTTCCATTCGGAGCCAGGTCCATGCTGATTGGGTGGACGTTCAGCTCATAATGCACTCTGACACAGCTTAATGGCAAGCATTCTACTAACAAACTCAAACTTTACATTAGTACTTCCGTGGTACTGCTTTTTTATTGCTAGAGGAACAGTAGTTCCAATGCACTCCAAGATATCTTTCCCCATTTATAATTGTTCTTCATTCCTGATCCCACCATGTCCTCTTCTTTCCTGACTCCACATATTCTGTCTTGTCAGTCTTCATCTTAGTAGTAGGTGTAGCATTCCATTTTTCCTCTCCTTATGGGGAACAGCTTTTTTTTTTAAAAAAAAATGTTCTTTTCAACCTTAGGGAAATAGCAAACCTCCAGTGTAGTAAACCTTCCTAAACTGGAAATAACTTTTTTCTCCCCCCCCAAAAAAAGAGAAAGAAAGCAGATCTATATATTTATATATTGGGAAAGGTGGTTCCCCCCTCCCTCCAGGAGAAATGAACCTACTTCTGCCGAGGGGGGGGGATGAGCAGAGAAAGGGGAAAAACTCCAACCGAGCCGCAAGAACGCCGTAAAATCCGCCGCCACCGCGGAGAAGAAGGAGGGGGGAAAAAACCTAGCGCAAAATACGCGGAACAGAACGCATTTATTTCCCGGGCCGCGGAGTCTCCCCTTCGGCTCTTGATTTCTCTCGGCCTCTTTTCCATTCGGTGGCCCATCGCCTTGATGGTTTTATCCCTACCCCCACCACCCTCTCTCTCTCACACACACACAACCTTCCAACATCCAGGGAACCCTCGCCTTCTGCCAGCCACGAATCTCTAGCGCCCACTATTTTAAAAGCCAGGAATTAAAAAGAGAAGGGGAGGAAGAAAAAAAAAAGATTTCGCAAGAACTTGGAAACAACTCGGGGAAGGAGCGAGAGGAGGGGGGGGAAGAAGAGAGAAAAGTTGCCAGCTTCAACTTTTGCCGCGAACTTTTTCCCTTCGCTCTTCCCGTCTTTTTTATTTCTGCCCCCTTTTTTCCTGCTTCTCTCCGGCGCAGATCGCGCGCAACCCACACACACGCACACACACACAAACGCCGGCACTGCTCCTCCGCGCTCCACGGCCAGCCTGGAGGGCTGCTGCGGAACTCCGCGGAGGGAGGGAGG